TGATAGCTATATCCGAATTTTACGATAGTTTCTTCAAATATTATGTTTCAATTTCATCGAAATTTCAAGATTGCATTATTCTTTGATTTGATTTATACAAGAAATTCCACAATAACTAACACAATTTATTAAAGAAGAAATATAATTCAATTATATCCATATAGACAATTATATCCTTATATTCAATTGAACAAAATACTACGGAAGTATAAATGGTATACGATAGCAGAAAACGATGTTCTAAATGACCTTTCGGAGGCACATTGCTAATTGATTAGCAAAAATAGTCATGCTATACGAACACAAAAGCAATTTTCCGCTTCTTGTCAAGCTATAATCAGAGATGAGACACTCTGCACCTCAATTCTGGTGCCAACCGCTGGAATTTTCCTCCCTGTGTCTCTTCATGTAGAGTGGATTGGGCCTATTGTTTTTGGAGATTGCAGCCAACCTTTCTAATGGTCAACCTTGAATACTTATTTAGAAGGGAAAGCTATTTCTGCTAGACTCGTTCGACGCGATAAGATACGGCTGACACGACCTGGAGAACTCCAACAACTCCGTAACAGAGTGACAGTTTTGTACCTACTTGATCTCCTCAAGATACCATTGTTTAACGGTTTCAGAGGGAAACTTTTTCTGCCTCTATTTTGTGAGCTCTTTTCCCTCGAGCCTAATCAGAAATTTGGAGTTCATTGGAGACAGTTTTTTTGTGCCCGTTGAACGAGACCTCCCGTGACATTACCCGGTTTCACGATGACTCCCAGCATCCAACGATTGCTCGTGTAATTTAATTTAACTTACGAGCGCCGATAGCGACCCAGCCACAAATCAATTAGAGTAGCGACGCTTTTTTTCCTTTTTTGTCCCTCTTTTCTTTCTCTCGATATATGGAGGAGGAGTTGCGAGGTGTGTGGAGGGGAAAAACTGGCGGCGTTAGTGATAGCCGGTACCCGCGCGGAGCGCGCTGTAAACATCTTTACTGCGCGATAAGTATACACATATATCGTTGTTCCTATACATTCATCCTGGGTGACTCTGGTGCTTATCGTACCACCATTTTGTCCTCAAGATTATTTAACTGTATTGGGATTATTATTTAGGTTTCTTTCTTTTTGGAAATCGAGGGACTGCGGGGAGAAGTGTCATCTAGACTCTAAATTCTAACGGTGTGTATCAATCAATTGAATAAATTTGCAAATGTTCTGAACAAATTGCGGTTTGTTGAATGAAAAATAGGTCAATATTTCATGGTGCACTGTTGAAATTTTTTTTCTGAAATTTCCGGTACATTTTTGGGAAATTTTTATCGAATTTAATTATCCCTGAAATTTCTAGGAATTTTGGGGAAAAATCTAAGAGAACAACTGTCAATTTCAGTTCCATTTTTTCCTAAAAATAAATAGAAAAGCAGAAAATTCCGGTAAATATATTCTTGAATTTTAAAAAATAACGCTGGATGGGATTTAGGCCGAAAAAATTCATGAAATTTCAGATTTTACGGAAAATTCAATGTAATTTGGTACTGTATATTCATATTAGATTGGAAGTTCAAATAAATCAAGGGATTTTCGTCTGTATGCTGTCTAAATTATTCAGCCAAAAACTTTCACTAGTGTAATATATCAGGTTCAATAAAACCATAAATTTTAATTTCAATTATCGGAGTTGAACCTGGTATTCCCTTCAATATTGAATTTGAATTTAAAAACTCAAAGCAATACTCACTGCAAATTTCATCATTTCTAACCATTTCCTTAATCATATCAAATCAGAATTCCATTTTTCCTTGCAATCAACCCGAAGTAAGTCGAAATTAAACATAAAATACTCGTTGAACATTCCGAGATAATTTTACTTCCAAGTGGAATTTTCTTCTTCTTCGAAGTAAAGAAAAATATAACAAATATTATATTTATCAATGACATCACCATTTATTTTCTGATTAATGTGAATCATGTCCTAGATTACCAATTAAAGTAAAATCCAGATGATGGAAAAGCTAAATTCAGTTTCATGAATTTTGTGAAAAAGTGTGAAGTAAAGTTTAATTTTTTCGTGTGTAATATAATTGCTCGGAAAAAGCAGTAAAATTCATAAGTTCTCGATGAGGACCTATACGCAAAAAATATAAAATCATTTTTACTGTGGGAACATAGTAATCGAGGACCATACACCACTCAAATTTACTGTTGAACATAGTAAAAATTGCTAGTCGGTATAGTAGAAAATTGTAAAATTTAATTCGGTATGAGTGAAAATTCACTAAGATAAAGGTATGGACCTCGATTACAATGTTCCCAGTGTAATTCTCAATTTCATATTCTCTCCGTATATGCGAAAGACCGAAGAACGTTACCGTATTTCTAGAATTTTTCTACGGTCCCACTTCAACTATTTTTCCCTCCGTTTTTTCTGCAATTTTTCGTTCATGTTTTATCCTTCTCTACAGCTAAATACTTCTGAATCTTCTTCCGGTTTTTACACTGATTTTAAAGATGAAAGAATTACTTACTGTTAACAAGATATTTTAACTATTAATTCCACTCGTTAGCTATCAACGAATGGTGCTAATGGTTTTACAAATCTCCTATAACAGCACCTGAATCCCTCCACCAGCGTATCCCCCACACATTTCCCCCCAAACCGAAAAACCTATCAATAATCAAACACCCCGTTCCTTGCATCGCCCCCAAAAACCCCAACTCCGAAGAACAATACTCATACCTCATAACCCGAAAAGAAGTGAAAATGAAATAGTGTTGTAATGGGGCGTAAGTTAACGCGGGGCATCCCACAGTGAGGCCCCCAGAAACCATACGCAGCTCTTCGTCGCGGAGTTATCCCAGTGCATGGCGATGCATCACACGTTTGGAAGCACCGGTGTGCATGTGGGGTATATTAGTCACCCGAAAATACCAGCCCCCCTCCTCTCTCTTCCATATATGCAATCGCACCGGGTCCAAATTGAGTCCTCGCCATAAAATAAGCCATAAAAGGGGTGGCGGCACGAGGGGCGGAGGGCGACCCGCGAGGAAGGGAAATGCGTCACTGGGCAGGGGGTGTACCTTGGTGCTTTCTTTTTCGGCTGTGGCAGTCGCGCGTGGACATTCAAATTTATGATAATGCCATCTCCCTGGTGGCCACGGGCCGGTTATCAATATTATTATATTTCCTTTACCGTTGTTGTAATATATATAATGCACGGAGGGCGCCCGCTGATATTATTCAGTACGATAGACTGAAGGAACGAGGGGAACAACAGAAATAAAATAGAAGACAGAAAAGGGCGGGAGGGAAATAAGAGAATTTCATAGAGCGAGGGAATTCAATAAATATGAGACCTCTGTTCTCTTGACGCTGTTGCTTCTCCCTCCCGTTGAGTGCCGTATATCTGAAAACACATCTACAGACTCACGATGGACGGCTAGTTATATAACCAGATTTTCTCTCCCATATCTCAGTTCTGCGTGTGCCCTCCCCCGCCCCCTCCTCTTTTTTGTGTTTTCGAAAAAAAAGTCCCCTGGACGAAGCACAACTATGCAACAAAAATCGAACATTGAGGAAGAGAGGTGAATGCGCTGTATGCACCTCTTAATCCCATCGTATATCACCGGACCGTTGGCTATCAATTTATAGGGAGTGAAACAGATTTTATGAATGCCCGAACAAGCGTGTAACCGAGGTAGAAACTCCCGTTTGCACCTCTTGACTCTCGTCACAATTTAATGCAACGCATTGCCCCATCATCTCCCCTCAGTTCATTAATTCGATTTATTATATTATTCGAATCTCCCGTCTTGTTATTAAAAACAATTTATCTACTTATATGTAGCAGAATGAAAATGTACACCATTAATTTATTAAGATGAATTATTCTGAATGAAAATGAGATAAAAATAAATAACTGGCAGATTCACTGATGCATTAATGCATCGCCGGGTGTTCCCCATCTCCAGCCTCATATTTTCTCAGGGCAAATGATATAAAGCCGTTGTTATACAGCAGAGTCTTGTAAACTTCACTTGCTCTCGCATCTGCCCAGGCTCGGGGTATCTGTGCATAGTTTATTATATACCTATATACGAGATAGTGTTGGGAATATGGGAGTGAAAGGAAACAGAGGAAAAAAGAGAGATAGGGGTTGGACGAGTGGTGGAGAGATGAGGAGAAGACGCGTTATGACTTTATAGCGCACCATACCTTTGAATTTTTTCTCTCTCTTCAACACTCAACCAATCCATCCCCCCCCCTCTCCTCTTTTTTGTTTCATGGTAGATTGTTGCCTGGCCTCCGGTACTTTTTGTTGCCCAATTTATAGTTGTTAGAGCTTTAGGATCGGCAATATAATTCGTGCGTACGTGCTAGGTTCGTTAAAAAAAAATAAGAGAGAAATTCAACCGCAATACCGTATAACCCAAGGCAAGTATATGCCAAGTAGTGGTACGATGTAGGAGGCTCACGAAGTCGTGGTAAAATTCTCCCTCTTCCCCTCTGCCACTTCACAATGTGGGACTACAGGGCCATCTAATCTATAAAGATGCCGCAATTGATTTTAATGCCTTGCATAAAACAACACTGAGGAGCTGTAAAGCTTTCCCAACTGCACCTTCTTCCTCTGTACTTGGTTACCTCGCCACGTGTATTCTAAAAGAGGCTCATATTGCACCCACAATGTTTCCTCAAATGTCCCCTCTAGTCGTGTTAAAAAAAACAGCCCCCTCATCCTCGTGTGCTCCCATAAGCTCCGTGGATTCAGTAAAATCCATTGAGCATTCATTGTTTGTTATTTATTGCATATTGTTTTCCACCGTGACAACTTTGTCCTTCACCGATTTTGTATTGAAAACTGCAGATTTATTGGTTGGTGATGTTGTAAATAATGGTGGTAAACACGTTGAGTAGTCTTCGTTTTTTTTTAATATAATGTCAATTCATAATCGTAGTAGACAATAATAATATAATGTTGTAATATCGATAATAATAGAATTTTTATTTTTATATTTATATTTTTATCTATATTCACATTCAAAATTATTTACAGTGGCTTTTTTCGTAGGTTTTTAGTGAAGTATTTGCCGTTTTTTCTTCGTTTAATTTACAATCGTACGAACAACCGAGCAAAGACTCTTGTAACGCTGTACCTTAGACCCGTCCTAATTAATTTACTATTCACAAATTTTAGTAGTTTTGAGTTTGGATTGGGAGGGTTATCCAGTTCTAGTCTAGGCTAATGTGGTCTTTCCTCCATGCCGCCCACGCGTACGCTCAAGTTTCATTTTTTTAAATCCTAATTATATACAAAAAGATATTTCAACTAATTCTGTTTATATAATGATGATTTCTGCATACATAGGGTTTGTACGAGTGAACGAATGCACCAGCACCTAAACCACTATCTTTTACAATTTTTTTTCTTCGTTTATCACAGATACAAATAAATCAACTTTTTCGTTATACTTTTCAATGCTCTCGACCCTTTTTTTTTATCTTTATAAAAAGCAATAATTTACATTCCCCAAGCTTGATTTCATCTCCAAAATTACATGAATGATTACACAGTAATTTTTCATTAATTTACAAACACCAGAAAAATATGTCTTCATAATAAAATACCAACAACATTTAAAAAATCGTCCATAAAATTAAGAAAATAAGCAAAGAGTGAAGAATCATTTAATCAAATTCATCCTTACACTCTTTTAAATATGATTCAGCATAAAACTAATCGATAAACGTCCTCGAGACTGCGTGAACACGACGCAGGGCGCCAATGTCTGATCAATATAAATTTTACCCTTAATTCTTCATCCCAAACTTATCATTCAAATTCTCCTTTTTTTGTTCATTTTATCACTACCTCTCTCCTTGATTCCCATATGGCTCACATGGGCATTCGTAATCACTGGCACGTATATTTACTCCATATTAATATATGCATAGCGTGTCTATAGAGGAGCGGGGGAAAAACCACGTGGGCGGCGACGCGCCACGATAACCCTCAGAGTACATGCCTTAAGCTACTACGGGGCTAGAATACGTTTAATTTAATATCGCATCTCTCTCTCCTATTTTCCTCTCCACGTGATAAACAATTAATCAAAGTGTGACGGTTAATTTTTTCATATCATTCCTCACTGCGGTTAATAATGACATAGCGTCCCTATACATTTTCCATTTGCCTGTTTATTTACTGTGGATTGTGTTCTGCATCTGGAGTGTTACGAATTTCCCTTGCTGTACTCCTAATTTATCCTCTAATAAGTAGAATAGGGTTAAGGTAAAGCGATAGCTGCCGCGGTCGTAAGGTACGATTTTTCAACTCTTCTCTTTATTATTAAGTCTCTATACACAATGAAGTATCTTCAATTAAAATTTATATTTATATATAATCCTTGCGACCGCCCAGCGATTGGGAACCAAGTTCTCGTCGCGGGTGCTATTTGCACTTTGCCCGACAATAAATTTGTTTTTTCTCCTTCATTTTTCATTGTTAGATTTCTCTTGCTGCTGCTAGTGCACGAGGAGGTTGTAACAACCCTTCGAGGAGAAGTTGCTCTAGAGTCCCCTTGTTACGTCGCTTGAAAATGCACTGCAGCACCTCCGCCACTGGCACGTATCCGTAAGACGCTCTGCACTCGGTTTTTCTAGGTTTCTTCTTATCCTCTCCCTCCGACCCCTTTCTAATCCCCCTCCTCGTCCTTCTAATCCCCCTTCAGCCTTTCGCCTCCACCATAGAGTCTCACTCCGATGTGTATTGGCCTCAGCATCCAACAGCTACCAAACGATTTATGGTGGCTCGGAGGTCGTGGCACTCTTCGCTTCATCTCACACCACTATCTATCTCCGTTTTTCCTCTTATCTTTTTTTTTCAACTCTACGGTTTTATTTATTTCCTCCTGTACTCCTTATTCCAATGACTCGTTTTTTTCCCGGGATATTTCATTACAATTTATGGGACACTGGTTGGATTATTGATTGGTAATATCCGCTTGTTCGGTGTTTCAGAATATTCTGTAACAGATAAAAAATACATACAAATTAGTCGTGGAATTTTATCAATTCTGGTTCTCTCAAAATGTTACAAATGTTAAAACTATAAATAATGAATAAACTTGTAAATTTGTTGTTTCTTTTTAATCATGCAAACGAAAGTCCAAACGAATTATCGAGTCTCCAGTGCTGACTGGAACGGAGTTGGCCAGCATTGGTGATTAATATTCAGTATCGAGAGGCAAGATCGTGAGTGTCACGCGCGCGCGTCTCGATTCGCAATTACGAAGGTTGGTGGATATAAAGCCCCTTCCACCCTCTCGCCACAATCTCCTCCCTTCTCCGGTGGATTGCGAGGGGGAAGACCAGGTAAGACCGGTTTTTCAGCTGAAAGGCCAAACGATGGTTAACTTTGTCGCCCCGACAACGCGCGCTCCAAACGTTTGTAAGTTGTAACTGCTTGTTACTAGAGCACTTACGCGTCCGGATGGCAGGATAGGCGGTCGTGGCAGATATGTTTACGCAGTCACTACTCAAGTAATTACCATATTCCTCGAGACACGATGGAAGATAAGTTGCAAATAATAATTTGGGCTTTGGAATTCTGGGGGGATCGTAATGACAACTATTATGATTAACATTTTTCATTTTCTTATTGATGGAGTTGATTTTAATGGAGGAAACGTGGGGAAATGGAGGGGGGGGAGCATCCCGGACGCGGAGAAATATCACACCCATTTCACCATGTCCATTACAGGGCCTCCCGTATATCGGACCAGCTGGGTCTAGAGGCAATGAATGCCCGCCGTCGCCTCGGGGAGAGCCGAGACTGCGGACAGGAGAGATGGGGTCGTATCGGTTTACTCGTGGTGACGTCCCGACGCCTTCGCTGTCGCTTCAATATTCATAGATCAGCATAGCTTTGTCTTCTATGTCGCTATTTCTGAGCGTCACTCTCGCACTAGTGAGGACTTAATTTTTTTTAACAGCCCCGAGGATGGCCCGGTACTGGCCAACATTCGGGCCACCCTCGGCCAATATTGCCCCATTTCTCATCTACCAGCGAGAGGAAAAAGTTTCTGGTTTCCAGTAAAAATCTCTCAATTTCGGATGTCCGTCTTACTGCACGGAGAGAAAATTCTTGCAAAATTGGTGCGATACCCACTAACGCTGGGATATAATGTGGAATCACCGAAAAATTCGGATGTGGTACGCTAAGTGTTACGAAAATCGTACACGGAGAAAATTATTTGATGAATTTCAACTACTTGTTGATTTTCAACAACTGCTTGGTGAATTTCAACAACTAGTTGGTGAATTAAAAAAAAAAATAGTTGGTGAAATTTACCGACTAGTAAAATTACTGACTATTCACTAAATAATTTTCTTTGTGCACGGAAAAGTAGCATAAGACCGGGAAAAACTCTCCTACAAGAAATCTAAAATCTGAACAGTTATACATTTCAGTTTGTGGTTTCTTTTGCTAAAAAAAAGAATTACAAAAATACAATTGTGTTGACAAACAAAATTATTTTTTAAGGTCTCATGTGTGACAATTTACATTGTATTCTTAAGTATTTAATACAGAGGGGTTCAAGAGGGAATCAATATGCTTAAGAACCTGTCTATTTAAATTTTTCAAGAAGACCCTGATTTCGTAAGATGGGGAGAAGCCCTCACCCCGTTTCCCAGCTAATAACCTTGGGCGGTGTCGCTCATGTATGGGACAGCGCCAGAGCACGTGATCAAGGCTCTCATTAGAATCAGCACGATTAGAATCAGCACAGGAATGTCACATTGAAGATAATTTGGAGGGAAAAAGGATCATAAAATTTCTAATTTCACTGCAAACTGAATGAAATTTCAAACTTTTGAGTAGTAGAAACCCGGGAGTTTTCCGATTCCTTTGAAATTTCCGAGAAAATATGAATATTCAGGTAAGTTTTGAATTTTCAATGATGAAATGACTTGAAATTTTAGAGGAACTGTAATGGGATAGAAATTTTCAGCATGTGTTCCGGAATTAGGGTGCCCTGTCCGCATTTTTGTTTGGTCCCATAGCTAGTGAGTAGCACACTCATTTGCGTAGGATCTCGTACATGATTGCAATGTATTTTCTCTCCGTGCGAAATTTAGGAAGTGAAAAATATTGGAGATCAGCGCAATTTTCACTTTTTCAATCAAATTTCATCAAATTTTTCCTAATAATCAGAGAAAGAAGAGCTAATTCTGAGTAATTTTTGCACTTCAATTTTTTTTCATTCCATATCTATTATAAAATCTTCACGAAAAAAAATCTTTATGACGTAATTTTGACTTAATTGTCGTCTAGTTATTCAAATTAAGGCACATTTTCTCTCATTTGAACGAAATTTTAAAATGTAAACACACGCATAAAAAGGGCGCACTTTGCCAATCCTAGTTTTCAAGATATTCACGTTTTTGTCTCCGCAACTCTCATTCAAACCAATGTTAAATCATTTTTTTATCTTCTTTAGGTACATCAAATGTGGGCAATGTTATTGATATTATTGAAATATACATAGCTATATCGATGAAGTAGGCCCTTGTCATGTGGACGACTACAAATATAAACCTGGAGTGAAAAAAATCAGGGTTCTCAAGACAAGAATATTTTCATTCTTGAATTGGTGATTTTTCCAATTCTAAAATTAATCTAGTCATGTTTATAAATCTTTTGTTATTCAAAGTATGCCACATGACATTTTTATTGACTCAATTAATATTGAATTAATGTTCAATTATTTTAGAATTTTATCTTTTCCATTGATCTTTTGATTTAAAAACTTATCTCACTTTAAAATGGTACATTTTTGGTATCAAATCTCAGGGCTTTTTCTTCTAAAATTAAGTAACCAGTTTATCATCCTCAGAACAATGTCATCTGTAATCATGAACTTCATAAAATCAGTAAATCGGTTCTGGAAACTAGGAACTTTTTGTTCTCACTATTTCACATGAAAAAAAAGTTTGAAGAGTGTTAAAAATTTTGCGTAATGGACACTCATAAATTCCACTCTTTTTGCTTTTTTATACGGACTCATTTGCCGTTTTTTTTTATAGCCAGATTTAACGAGATTCCATCCATCACTGTGGACCGCCTCTCCGTCAAATGCCTCCCTCGTTCTGCTCGTAGTCCTGAAAATCCCGTCTATTTCAACATGACAATCGAAATGCCACGGGAATTATCCTCAAATGCATCTATCTCCGATCGATCTTGCGAGACCACTGCATGCATGTGTGTTTTGTCCCCAGTAACTCAACTATGTACTCTCAATTGACATATTCCTCCACAGCGTTTTGCATACGCGAGTAATCGATACTTATATATCTTTAATCTCGTACCCTTTCTCTGATGATTGGCATTACACTCGAATTTCAACACGCGTGATGCATGCAGATATCGCGGGTCAAATTCTTCGCCCCAGTGTCACGCGATCAACAGTTATTACAATGTTCACAATAACTTGAAGCGAATATTTATCCAACCTGTGATTTGATAGTCTAAAGAGGTTTTTCTCGACTTGAATTCGTTTGAGACTACTCCGTCCATATTTTTCGGTTGAAAAAAAACGGGTCTGCCACTTGTTGCGCAGCGAATCGTGTAATTCGTTGACGCGCCGTGTTCATCGAACCGTTAGCAAGGTAGACCTCGGCGTTCGATCGCAAAAGTCCTCAGCGAAAAAAAGCCAATAAAACTCGAGGGGAAAAAAAACTTCCCAAAAACTTTTGGGAGAGGAGAAACGAGCAAATGAAGTGAGAGACTAAAAATAGTGCGAGAAGAATTCATGGAGAACCGAGGATTCAGGTATTCCTTCCTCCTCATGAGGTTTTTCACAGCATCCGTGGGACAAAGGTGTACACTGGAGCGAGTGTATCACCATACCAAGGATCCCAGGTTCCATCGCCGGTAGGATTTATTGAGGGGACAGCCATCTGCTGAGAAATCCCAGGACGACCGTTAACTGAGGTTGAGGTACTGGAGAAGATGGCTAAGACACTAGGTGGAAGCTCGCCAAATTTTATGCAGATACATTTAGGCATGTCTCATAAATATCGTAAAGGCAAAGATGCTGAGGTATCCAGCGCATCCCGAAGGATCAGAGAGATCCAGATGTTTGAGAGAAGTTGGGACTCATCATTCAGCGCCACCCAGTCTAAATAGCAATTAAATAGCCTCTCGCTAATTGGCAATTACGAGGGTGTTGGGCACAGTTTTTCAGCGCTATCTGGTAGCATTTTGGGATGCCATAGCAACCTGTGCAGTCCCCCCCTCGCGGCTCAGTCCTGGTGGATGGTGCCCAAAAGTCTCTCATATATGTGCCAGAGTTGCTAAGTGGCATTATAATAAGCGGACCGTGAGGCTGAGGCTGGCCACAAGGCTTGTGATCCCCATGAGAGAGAAAGAGAGAAGAGGAAGGGGTGTGAGGTTGAGCGCGGAGGCCTCTGCACACTGATCGTTTCGGAGCCGAGGTGACGACAGCGAAAACTAGTTTATTTGGGACGTGGCTATAAATTAGGATCAGATCGCCACCAGATAAGGGCATCCCGCTAACACCCGGCCTCCGAAAGAACGTCTCGACGAGGTGGTGACCACTTCTCCGCTACTCCCTTTTTCTTCTGGCCTTTATTCCTCCTTCTGACCTCACTCCTTCTAGCAAAGTAAACAGTTCCCAAACGTTTTGGGCGTTATTTTTGTCGGAGGAGATGACTTTCCTTCACTTGTTTCAATCTTTTATTTCTTGCTCGGTCATTGAATTTTTTTCGGGAGGGGGGGGGGGAAGGGACTATTATGAGGCAGCAATAAACAGTGAGAACTAGTACTTGCTTTTGATTTATGCTCCACTGTGACTTTATACAGTGTGGATTTACACCGTGGGTGTGAGAAGGATCCACGGAGTTTCTTGACACTAAATGCGACAGCTCGAGGTGTGTCCAAGTCACCAGTGAGGTTACTAGGAGATGTTTGCTAGAGAAATTCTCTACCTTGAGAAACAGCTACAGGAGAGAGTCCAGTGATTCCATTCACTGATCAAAATCTCGGTTCATTTGTCACTGTCATTGAGGTGGCGATAGCATTCTCAGATCTCTGAGGTGTGTGAGAGAGATGCTGCCTTGGCCACACGCTACTCAATATCAAACCCGTTTTTTGATCATTATTATTTTCGTGATGCGTTCAAGCCATCGACGATTTCTAACGGACAATGTCACAGCCCTCGGTGAATATTAATTCTTATCAACTGTCAGAGTGGAAAGGCGTGTCGAGTGATTTTATTTTAGGCTTAGCAAATATGATTGTAATTTTGGATAATAGAATGTTGTATTTTCGATCTATTAACGTCATTGTCTCTTATCTACTGGAAAGAGTGGATTGTACAACGCCACATGAGTAGTTGTTTTGCGGAGTTGAGTCGGTAGTTATGATTGGTGGAGGGGAAATTTATGAGTCTGGCGCGTGCGAGGGTTATGAATCAAACCTGGCAAATTTGTATCAACTAAAAATTCGTATTTTACATTTAATAGCTGAAGCTGTCAGTGATTATGCCACACTGAGTCTGAGAAATAGTGCGTATTTGATAATTTTGCGATAAACTCACCTGAATAACAACGAGTGCTGATAGTGACCCGAGGATTCGGAGACAGCGGTCTAAACCGGCGATACAAAACCACTGGCCATGGACTGGGATCTGTAAATAATGCGTAGTAATGAAGGGGCTCAAATATTGGATTGTTAACTCAGTAGCGAAGCGGAAAACCGGGTCAAGTCGATTTTGATTTTTGGTCAGTTTTCGATGAATATCTCGGAGTGTAAGAGAGATAGCAAAATTTTTCTCACGACTTTTTTTATAACCCTCAATTGGCTCTACAAAAAAGCTCTGTTTAAAATGCAGCAAATAATCCATCAGTAAAAGTTACCGGTCTCAACAGAAAAACTCGAGTGACTTCGGAACCCTTCGGGTTCAGGGTCAAATCACGGAGCAAATCGTCAAAAATGAATTCAGTATCAATCTATCCATCAAAGAGTGCACATCTATTAGTTAGAGAGTCACCTATTGAGTACAGTATCAACGTAACCGCTCAACCGAGTTCATCATCGTGTCATATTGAGTCGAGCGCTCTCTGTAGCGTCTCTATTTCGTTTAATTATCAATTAATTTCGAGTTAACTATCACTCATTTTGAGTCAATTATCAAGTTCAATACCATGAGATTATCCAGTGCAGTGTAAAGACAATTATCGATTTTTAATTTAAGACATTCATCGATTCGTGTATTCCCAAACTCAAGACGCGTGGCTTGCGCCACTAATAAAGTACGTGGTATGTTGAGTCTAGCGCCCTCTGTAGCGTTTCCATTTCGTTTAATTATCAATTAATTTTGAGCTAACTATAAATTAATTTGAGTCAATTATCAAGGTCAATATCAAGAGATTATCCAGTGCAGTGTGAAGGCAATTATCGACTTTAAATTTGAGACATTCATCGATTCGTGAATCTCTAAACTCAGGACGCGTGGCTTGCGCCACTAATAAAGTACGTGGTATATTAAGCCTAATGCCCTCTGCAGCGTCTCTACTTCGTTTAATTATCAATTAATTTCGAGTTAACTGTCACTCATTTTGAGTCAATTATCAAGTTCAATATCACGAGATTATCCAGTGCAGTGTAAAGGCAATTATGGACTTTGAATTTGAGACATTCATCGATTCGTGAATCCCCAAACTAAAGACGCGTGGCTTGCGCCACTAATGAAGTACATCAGCAGTATTTTTGTAATCCGCGTGTCCTTTAATTTCACCTTTTCCAAAGCACTTCCCCCAATCCGCCCTAGCATTAGCCTCAATCTCTAACAAGCTCATGAGAAAAAGTTTTCTATCTCTTTTAGATTCCGAAATATTCGTCAAAAACTGGCCAATACTCAAAATTAACTTAGCCCAGTTTACCGTTTCGCTACTGAATTGTCACTCACCCTTTGTAGAAGGGCTTGAACGCCGTGGTGGCCTCCGTAGGCGGAAGACTGGCAGTCGTTTGTTGGTGAAGGACGGAGGTCTGGTTGCCAGAGGAGAAGTCCTTGTGTGGAGAGCTTTGCAAGCGAGCCCCGAAGGACGATGCACTGCTGGCTGATCCCGAACTGGAGGACAGATAACCACTGCTAGCAGCCAATCCACTTGGATAATGACTCGCTGTACCATTGCTATTGGCTGTGGTACTGCCACCAGGGCAGTATGCTCCCGGAGGGCCCTGGATCACGCCGTTGGGTGTTGTCACCTTCATATTGGGAGGTGTTTGGGGTGGCGTGTCCGTCCCAACCTCGGGAAACCCCGCCGCTGCCGATGATGATGCACTTGATGTCGAGCCAGACGATGAGTTTGGATTGTAGTGGAGTTGTCCACCTGACGAGGAGCTCAGAAAGCCACCGTATCTCGTTACGGCGTTGGAGTAGGGCGCTGTCGCTGCGGATGACGGGCTCATTGATGCGGCAGAAGGTAGGGCAAAATTACCAAGACCACCGCCACCCCCGGAGCCGAGCCAGGGCTGCTGGGAGTGTTGATGATGGGACTGACTGGACAGGTGATGCTGGGGCGTCTGCTGTGGATGACCTTGAGGCTGATGGCTGTAGTGCTGTTGGTGATTCAGATACGCCTGGTGGTGAGGATGGGAGGGAGGTGGAGGGGTTTTGCAGGCTGCTGTGTCAGCCAGCGACCAGATTTTGGGCTTCGTCGCGGGAATGGGAACACCACCTGCTTGACAATCGGGCTTGACACCCTCGTCCTTCAGGTGGTCTTCACTTATGTAGCCCTGATGATGGTGACTGTGGTGGTGCTGGGGCATGTGGTGGAAGGACATCTCTCGGCTCCTTGGGTCATCTTCAAGATCCAGGTCGTCATCGTCCTCCAGATCCTTGTCGTGCTGCATGTGCTCAGCCTTCACATGCCTCATGGGTTCTAAATTCAATAATGAAAAAGAGAAAGAACAACATGAAGTGACGCGTGTCATGGAGGGCTTTAACATGTATCGACACAACGATCGACTTGTCGACCCCTTGAAAATCTCGAGATACACTCTGTACACAGTATATTGAAGTAGGGGAAACGATAAGCCAAAATCCCCAGGCTCGTTAATTATTGGATATGAGGGTGGAGCTTGGGGTAGTGCTCGTGAAGCTCCCGCGTGGCAATATTGCCGTTAATGGTTTATAGTCCCTGGTGTGAAAGCGAGACGCGCGTATGCGTGTCATTGCAGGGGAGGGGATGGGGATGCTGGAAGCGTCGAAAAGAGCACCGTGTGCCCTGAAGGAGGGAAAAAAAAGTACTTGGGAGAAGAAGAGAGCGAATAAGTGTGAGTGGAAAAATAGGGAGGTGAGTGCGAGTAAGAGATGGTTTCCCTTGCCCTCATAGAGTTAAGCCGTAAGGGATGCTGTGAAAAAAAGGGGGAGCGAAGCCTGCAACCACTTTGGGGAGCGCGAGAGATTTCGGATCCCCTCGGGATGGTGGATCTCTTTCTTCCTTTCTCTCGCTCTTTCAGTCGGTGTTTTTTTTTTCAACTTCTTTTATATCCCTTGGCGCCCCTTGCACTCTGGAAAAGAGCCGTCCCGTCCGTCTGGCAGGGCGTCCAGCCAGCTAGTCAGTTAGGGGTGAGAATTTCATTAAGAGCTTCGAATGAGTTAGCAGAGGGGTTTAGTTGATGGGTCGTCAAGCGATAATTCCCCAAAGCGCATACTCACTGTGGGCAAGTTATCAACTGTCTCTGTTACTCTTGTGTACAGCCCCAATAACGTGCATAAGAGAGAGGAGTGATGGGCCAGAGAGTTTTGTGGGCTCTTTCACCAAGGGGTAGATTTGAAACTCCACCAAACCCTTATAAAAGGGAACCTTATGGCCCAACTAAACAGATACTCCCAGTGAGTCCACAAGTGGCTCTTTAACTTCTGACCCCACCCACTTTATCACCGATTAATCGCGCAATTTATATCAATTAAATGTATCTATCAAATCTTCACGAATTCTTGGGCCAATTTAATCGACCTATTTTTACTGATATCCACATGTGGCACAATGTGCGGTGTATTGCGGTAATGGTTTGGCATTGAGAGCCATCCTCCTTCTCTCTTTAGCCATTCGTCTCACCGCGGGCGCCGATACATCACTGGTCGCTCGAACCAGTGTACCCGAAGCATCTATATACATAACGTATATCCCACGGTGTATGGACTCTCTCGTTTCACTGTATAGTCCTACGGGCTGGCTACTCCGGCCCAGCGGCCGCACCCTCGCACATTCCCCTGGACGTGCTGCCTCACGTTACACCAGTTACTGTAGGCACACCATACAACCTCCAGTTGCACAGGATGGCCAACGGAAGTGAGTTGCAGGAGGAGGTGGGCAGGGGAGTGGAGGGTATATAGATCCAGAGAGGGAGTGGAAACGCAAAGGGGTTAGAAGCAAACCCAAAGGCCATTAATCTCTTCGCGCGGCAACCCGCAACCCGTCACTGTGTTTACCCACATGTGAACCATTATGTCCGCCTCTACGATACACCCAGAGTACCAAAGGACTTGAGCTATTTTCTCCCCTCCCACTCCTCTGACCCCCGAAATTCATTGCAAATTTGGAATTTCTCTGTGGGAGACGGAGATTGGACTGTGGCTTTACCACTTTGGGTTTCGAGGACTGAAAATTGGCTTATCTTTCCCCATTAAAGGCTTCAGAAATAGCATACTGAACTTTTATACTAACTTGGTTGTTTTTCACCCACGGGATAGAATGTTTTGAATGGATAGATAATTTGCATTTTTTTTATTTGATTCATTTCTAAAAGGGGATATTTTACCCAGAATAGGCTTTTTTTTCGCTTCGGCAGAAAAACACCAAATACTTTCAAAAAAGGGTTACAATGGGCTAGACAGAGATTCGTGTTTATTGAGCCCTATCAATCGCCATTAATTAAAATTTAATTCATCGATTAGTTTTTTTAAATTACAAATTTTTTCGAAAATCGGGTGTTCCACAATAACTAAAAAACCTGTTCTGAATTCATTGAATGATGACTTAAAAAATTTGTTTGAATGTCCTTTTGACCAAGTTCCAAGATGAAGGCGATAGCAATAATCGTTATTTTGATTTATTTGAAAATTTCCAAAAATTTTGTATTTTTTGAAAATCGAAATTTCGGGGATATCTTGGAATACCATGCTTCAAATGAATTGGGTCAGAATGGGGTCATTTCTTCGCTTAGGCAAAGAAGCACAAATTACTTTCCAAAAAGGGATGAAATGAGCTGACCAGAAATTCGTTGTATATCTACATGTGAATCATTATCTCCACCTCTACGATACACTCAGAGAACCAAAGAACCTTAACTAGTTCCTCTCCAACCCTCGCCTGACCCCAAAATTCATTGCGGATTTGTAATTTCTCTGTGAAAGTCAGAGATTGGACTGTGACCTCACAACTTTGGGTTTCCGGGATTGAAAATTGGCTTATCTTTCCCCATTAGAGGCTTTAGGAATAGTATACTGAACTTTCATACTAACTTGGTTGTAAAATTTACTTACCATTATCCTCCAAACTCCGTCTTGCATCATCACTAACTCTATCCACTCGATTGTCACTGCTCATGTCATCCTTGTCCTTATTATCCTCTGAATCAGTGAGAACAGCATCATCATCATCGTCAGTTTTATTTTTCGGCTCCCACGTCATTTTATTTTCCTTCTTGAGTCTTCTCCTTGCATTGGCAAACCACGTTGATACTTGGGTGAGTGTCATTTTAGTTATAATAGCGAGCATAATTTTTTCACCCTTAGTTGGATACGGATTTTTCTTGTGCTCGTTTAACCAGGCTTTTAGGGTCGCTGTTGATTCTCTCGTTGCGTTCTTTCGACGCGCTGCGAGATCGTAACCAGCCCCATAACTGGAAAGGACAACCGGAATATTTTACTTAAATGTTTTAACACATAAATTTTTTTATTATACTTTTTTTTTATTACAGTGTAAAATAGAAACTTGTCAACAGCGTCGCGTTTGTCTTTCAAACCCCTCATTACACAAACCGGTTTTAAATATACATATTATCGGTGGTTAAACTTTACCTTCTGTCGTATTATTTTTGTTAACAATGTAGTTGACATGTTCTGCAGGGTCGAAAATACGAAAAACCGGTTGATTATTCATTCAACTTATTTTTAATAGAACGTGGGGGTTTTTAGAGACGACACTCACGAGAAACGATAAGGACAAATCCACCCCTACCCAGGATATTTTGCCTTTTCTCAAGGATCTTTTAATGTTTTTCATCTAGGAAAGTGAAGGTTTTGAATGAAATGATTGATTCACCATTTCTGTTTGCCTAAATCACTAACAAAAGGTGATGTTTCACCCTGATCTGATCATCATTCCTGAAACCGGGTCGTTTTATTCCCTCAGGCAGAAAAGAATCGAAACAGAAGTTGATTTTCGTGTATCCTTTTTTCATATTTTTTCGAAATTGCTATTCGGGGATGAATTATTCACGTTGATTTTGGTGCTTCGCCTTATCATTTTTTTCAGTTATGGGAGTATATCGTGAATTTCAAAGAGGAGAAATACAAAAAACAGTAAGTACACAAATGCCTGGTTAGTGGCTTCATCTTTTCTCAAAGATTTTGTAGTTTTTCTGTTCAGGAGATGTTTCGAATTGATAGATAATAGGCCATTTTTTCCGGTTTCAACAAGGCGAAGAAAATTGGAAAAAATTACTGAACGATTACCGTCAAATAATCGTGGAGCGAACTCGATTTTCAGTGGGTTTTCACTCTACATCGGGGAAAAAGTGCGAGACGAATAGTAAATTTTTCTTCGTGGACCCGGAAAAATTTACCGAACGTGGAGGTAGTTTGCGTTTTTGAGGGAATGCATTCGGTAAAATGTCACTTCCATTCGTCCTCATGACTTTTATATGGATGAAAGAAAAAAAACTCTACCAGCGTGACAAATGCTGGTGTATAGAAGGATAATTTTCGCATCCATAGATGTATTTCTTTTACCGAGCCAATCGTAAAATATCCTCAACAAACAGGCGTCTTTTTATTCAATTACATTTCGCTCTCCGATTACCTCTCATACAGTAAAATATGCCACGATTTTCTAGACAATTTTTATCCATTTTTTTTCTCCGTAAATCGTTCCTGAAAAGGATTACCTATTTTACATATATATTCTATGCGTTCTCTTTTATATTATAATTTTTTTATATTTTATTTTTTAAACACGGAATTCATTCCAAAAGGGTTGAAATGAACTAAACAGGAGTTTATTTTCTCGCATCATTTCTAGTTTATGTGAAATATTTTTCGGAAGTTACTTTTCCTCCCCACCAGCTTTTCAAGATTCATCGCACTCTCGTATTGGTTCTTCACCTTATTTCTTCCCCTCTCTATAAGAAAATGGAGTGGCTTTCAGAGGGGCCATACAAAAAAATAAGGACAAATCAACCCCTGTTTATGGTACTGTTTCCTTTTCTCAAGGATATCTCAGTCTCTTTCACTTAGCAGATAAATGTTCTGGGTGGATAAATGTTTTTGCATAATTCGCAACTTTCCCAAGGGGTATACTGTCACAAATTTTTGTCTGAAATTTGCGGTACACTTTTTGGAAATTTTTATCGAATTTAATTACCATTGAAAATTCACAAATTCGTAGAAAAATCAAAAGGATCTGAAAAATCAAAAGAAATTTCAGTTCCATTTTTTCCTCAAAATGAATAGAAAACCCTAAAATTCTGGTAAATATATTCTCTAATTTTCAGGGTAGTAACACTGAATGCGATTTAAGGGGAAAAAATCATGAAATTTCAGATTTCACTGAAAAATTCATGCAATTTAGCACAGAATATTTTATGCAAATTATTCAAATGAATTAAGGAATTTTCGTCTTTATACTGCTTAAATTTCTGGAATTTGACTGAATTTTCAGTGAAACCTGAAATTTCATGATTTTTTCCCTTAAATCGCATTCAGTGTCACTGTCTTGAAAATTAGTAGTCAACTGTCTATAAAATTTCCTTTTTCATCCAACAGTGCATCCTTCATCCCATTTAGTAATAATCCCCAAAATGGGGTTATTCTATTCCCTAGGCAAAGAAGGTCGGAACGGGGGTTGATATTCGCGTATCGTTTTTTGCACGGGTGAATTACTTTTCGAGAGTCACTTTTCTGGAAGAATTTATCCCCTTCAGTTTCAAGGCCCTTCAAACTCTCACATTGGTTCTTCGCCGAACCGTACGATTCCCCATGGATTTTGGAAAGTCTGGTAGACTCATGTACCCTCTGATATCTCACTCCCTCTCGCTGGTGTATGCATCGCACAGTGGAAACACGCCCTGTTCGTACAGCCCTTGCGTATAGAGGCGACATCCTACTATAAGAGGGGAACACTGAGGGTGATACGCCGGCAAATATATACGGAGAATAAAACACCCTGCGGTGCTGTGGCGGTATAGCGCCGTGATTCCATCGAGGCTGGCACTCACTCTCGTCGTAATGGCGATTCGATCGATCCCCCACTCTCTCTTTCTCTCTGTTCAATCCCTCACCCACCCCTGACTGTATTATAGCTAACGTACGTTGTATATACACTGGAGTGGAGGCTAGTGGAAGCTAAAATACCCATCCAAGATTTTGTAGGGTAGCTGGAGTAGCCTCATAAGGGTGCAACGACCCATACTGTGACGCTGAAATTACCTTTCTCCCTAATTCAATTTTTTTCGGGCCATTTCGGTCAATTGAGCGGAATAATTGAAATCATAAAGTCATGGCTCATTTTATTGAGGTCAAAGTTGTTCACGAATTGTGCACAGGAGGAACTAAATTTCTAAAAGCAAGTTACTGACTTTAAGAAACTTGGGGTTCGAATATGCATTGTCGTGGAAATAGGCCCTTTGAGTCGAGATTTTTGGACACTTTTTGTGAATTTATGATTCATAATTTGTGATTTATAATATTTATAATTCACGATTTTTTAGAATTCAATTCAATACGTGTCTGATCTTTAAGGGGAGACTACTGTGAGTTTTAAAAGTGGTGGGTTATTGGAGTGAGACTTTTCCCATTTAGTAGCGGTTCAAAATTATCCATAAACGAGGAATTAATTACTTTTTCCAACTTTTTTTTCGTGAAATCGTGAAATACACTAAGCGGGGATTTTCTCATCATGTGACAATCTACATTGGGTGGAGAGCTGCCACCACTTAAAAGTTAGTAATAAAGAACTCTTGAATTTTATCGAAATTATATCGTATGGAGAAAAAAAATTCAGGAAAAATTACGCGACGAAACGTAAAAGTGATGGAAATGCTCTATCGGGAATTTTTACGTAAAAACTCGGAAACAATCTAAAATGAGAAATAGATGTTCCCTCTTGAGTTCTGGAAATTTTATGAATTGAAACACAATTTTTACGTGACACGCCATAAAAATCCGCGCCGAGAACAGTGATTTCTGCGAATCTGTAGTGATGCACATCACACTTTCGTCAAGCAACGTAATTTTTGCGTGACTTCCATAGTACTTTTTCCGCGATTTTTTTCTCCGTGCGCACTATGAGTTTCAGAGATATTGAAATCACTACGGATTAGAATACGGATTGGATCATTACGGATTTTTATTTGTCTGATTTTCAAGAAAAATAATTTTTTCACACAGAAAAACCGAACCATAAATTACATTTATGAAGTCGTCTTTTATGATTTCCACGGCGATTTTACGCTTGGAGTCGAAGCGTAAATTACGCTCCAAATCGCCGTAAAATAAGGTTACATAAACATAATTTACGGTTTTGTATTCGTAAATTACGATGATTTTTTTTCGAATTTTACGTTCATTTTTACGTTGTTCAAAAATACATATTTTACGCGTAAAATACGATGTTTTTCTCGTACATTACGAATAAGTAAATCGTGCGATACGGTTTTATAAAAATAATAATTTACAATTTCTTGAGCGCGAAATACTCTTAGTGAAACATAAAAGATGTTTTGTTTAGGTGTATTTTCCGTTCTTATTTTGACCGTAAAGTACCCCTTTCTGAGGTTTAAATTCAGATTTTCATGACGGAAAAAAAATCACATTGAGGGTAAATATAAATTATATTTAGCAAACTGTAAATTACGCTCATCAAAACGTAATTGACGTTTAGATTTTTCTGTCCATAGAATGAGTAAAAATTTAACTTGTTTCTAAAATTTTTTGCTCGCTAGATTTGGATATCGTACACTGAGAAAAAAAATTACTTTTGCCAAGTAAATGCACTAACATCAAGAAAATCCACACATTTCAAATGCAAATATTTATATACATTTACTTGTGGCAAGTAAATTTACTTGGCAGACGCAATTTTTTTTCTCAGTGCCGAAATTCAGACATTTCTATTGGAGATCAGAATGTTTTTTCTTCGTGCATAGGGTTTTTTTTTCGGGAATAGCGTTCTGTTCCATACTTGGAAAAATAATGTTCCTGAATTAAGACACACAGACGTTGAGTGATACATTTTTTCCTGTGCGGGAGGAAGACTTGAAGAGAAGCGTAGCCGTGTCTGAACATGAAGAACCTAATCTACTGGCTATTATGAAATTCACGTAACCGTTTTAGTTTGAAGCTTATTGATTCAGTCTTGTTTGGAGGCCATTTATTGATTCAGTATTCTGAAAATGTTCAGAAAATAATTCATGCGGTGAAGTAATGAAACTTAATGAATCAATTTTACTCAAATCAGTTATCGGAAAATGTGTCCAACTTCAAGGAAAATTATGCAGTGATTTCAGAGAACTTTTAATACTTTTTTTGAGAAGTAAAATGAGAGATGCATGAGATCAGGGTTGGATAGGTAAAATACCTCAGGTAAATTGTCACATTTTCGAAAAAATAAAAATAAAATAAT